TTGGCAATAGCGTATGCCTGTGTCGTTACCCTTTAAAATTTCATTTCCAGAATAGTGCCCTCAAGTCTAAAACCTATTCACACTGTGCAATGTATATAGACTTAATCATAAACATCTAAGTTTATTGGTTCTCCTTAAAGTCAAATCTGTGGTTATCAGTTGATGCAACCTGACATTAAGCGGACGCATCTGTCTCAGGGAAAAATAAATTGAAATCTCTTACATTTTTCTTGACTTATAATGATTACACTAAATGCTTTCTCTCGTCGTTACTTTCCCTAAGGTCATTAAGATGATTGAAATACGAATTCAACTACAGTAAAATACTGTTATAACAACTCAAACGGATCAGTAATTTAAGTTCGTTATTTTAGCCGCTAGTTACGCCGCTTTTAGCAATATTCCAGTATATCATGACGGGGAACACCAGAAATGGGCTTCACATATTGCACCCATGTGGGGAATCCAATCCAGGTCCTCGGCGTGACAAGCGAACACTTTAACCACTAGGCTACTCCACCGCACCTTATTACATCATAGTGCGCCTTAACCCCACCAATATTGAAACAACGTATCAAATTTGAGTTAATGAGTTTGGTTTAACCTCACTTTTAACAGTATTCCAGTTATATCACGGCGTGTCAGCTTAATGTGGGAGGAAAGTCCGAAGTGATGTAGGTCTCTGACGTTTGCCACTTGTTAAACCCACGAGCGCGGGTATGGGACGCAACTCTGCACAGCGCATTATGGCGCCTGAGACGATTGGGCCACCCGTGCCCCCACCACAGGATGACCTGAGTCTAGTGGTACCAGGCATGTTGAGATGCTGCTGCATATATGTTCGGTCACATCAAGGTTACATCATAGGATGTGTAATGATTGCTTTATCATTGGATGTTTATGACAGGATGTCTTTAGATATGATGTTTATGTAATTGTTGATTTATCATTGAATGTTTATGACAGAATGTCTTTAGATATGATGTTTATGTAATTGTTGATTTATCATTGGATGTTTATGACAGGATGTCTTTAGATATGATGTTTATGTAATTGTTGATTTATCATTGGATGTTTATGACAGAATGTCTTTAGATATGATGTTTATGTAATTGTTGATTTATCATTGGATGTTTATGACAGGATGTCTTTAGATATGATGTTTATGTAATTGTTGATTTATCATTGGATGTTTATGACAGGATGTCTTTAGATATGATGTTTACGTAATTGTTTAGTTAATTGTTGATTTATCATATGATCTATGTAATTCTGGGTTATCATTGATTTGTTTATGTAATTGCTGCTTTGCCATTTGATGTTTATTCAATTCTTGATTTATCTTTTGATGTTTATGTAATTGCCATTTTATCAAGGATTGTTTAATTATATGTAATTGGTGATTAATCGTTTGATGCTTGTGTAATATCAACATATATCATAAGATGCTTATGTAATTGTTGCATTACCATGTGATTTATATGTAATTGGTTGTTTAGCATGTATCGTTTACGCGATTGATGGATTATCATGTGGTGTTTATATAACTGGTCGTTTATCATTTGCTGCTTATGTTATTGGTGGTTCATGGCTAGATTTTGATGCTTTTGGTGGTTCAATAATGGTCAAACAGCCAATTTACCCACCTGAGTAAGAAATGCAAGAGACTAGTGAAACCGCCACATCTGTTTCTTATTTAGATGTATGCATAAAGAGTGACAAAAACAAGAGGAATGACTTCAACCTTCCAATAATCAACTTTCCCTTCATGTCGATCAATATTCCAGGAGCTCTAGCCTTTAGTGCCTACAATTGACAACGTTTGAGGTACAATCGATCATGCTCTCTCTACCAATATTTCAAAGGGAGTCGCTTTACTCTTGCTCAAAACTAGTTTCATCAAATAACAACATTGAAGGCCTCACTGAAGCTTTCAGTGACAAAAGATTATGTCTGATGCAATTCTCTATATTGACTTGTTCCATATATTCCCGTGTCTTTTTCAAGTGAGCAATTGACTTGCCTTTGCATGTGTTTGTGACAGGTGTCATAGATGGAGCAGGATACGCTCACTATTTGGTATTGATACATAAACACTTGACCATTTTATGGTCGGAATAGAACAATGGACTCTGATTTTGCCAGAGAATTCTTATGATTTCTCGCTTTTATTATCTCTGGATGTTTGTATGACTGGTAATATGTTGATATATTAACTGGTTCATTAATGGATGTTTATATGATTGGTTATATGTTGATATATAAGCTCGTTTATTAATGGATGTTTGTATGATTGGTTATATGTTGATATATTAACTGGTTCATTAATGGATGTTTATATGATTGGTTATATGTTGATATATAAGCTCGATGGATATCGATGTTTGTATGATTTATTAAATGTTAATATATTAGCTTGTTTATTAATGGATTTTTATATGATTTGTTATATGTTGATATGTTAGTTGGTTAATTAATGGTTGTTTATACGATCGGTTATACGTTGATATAGCAACTGGTATATTGATGGATGTTTATATGATTTGTGATATGTTGATATATTAGCTGGTTAATTAATGGTTGTTTATACGATCGGTGGTATACCATTTGATATTTATGTGATTGGTCATCAAGAATTGTGTGTGTATGTGATTGGTGGTCTATCATTCAATGTTTATGTGACAGAGCTACGGTTATTGTTACGGGTTGATTCCAAAGTTGAAACTCGAAAGTTAACCCCCAAATCAAATACAGAATACATTGTTAAATCAGTAATAACCACACAATGTCAATAAATATTTACCAAATTAAAATTGAAACACACGAGCCTATCTTTACAATGATAAAATGCAACATAAAGGATCAAATATGTGGCAGCAGCAACATGTAATATGTTCTATTACATAAGTTTCACAAATGTCTAGAACTTGTCAATGGTTTCAGTCGTTCTCCGTTCTTGAATCCAGGAAATAGTGTAGGAAGCAGGCAGTTTCCACCTCGGTATTTTTAGCGAGGTATCCCGTCCGCACTGAGGAGGTAAATAAGGGAACTGCGCGCCCTCGTCTTCCTCTTATGTAGGTACAGCCAGCCGTCTAGAAACTGTACCACGAGAAGGTGTTTGAATGGGGTAGTCAGTACCGGAAGTGAATCATCAACTGTAAACAAACTCCTCACAGCGGAACTCTCTATACCAGGAGGGTAACGAAGGTGTCAAGCACTGGGACGGAGCTTGTACTGGAAACAACTAAGGGAGACCAATCTGTACACACGACGCGCTGCAGTGGACCACTTCTAAAGAGATTTTACAAGCGTTCTTATATTTGCTGCCACAAAACAGTATTTCTGCGTTAAAAAATGGCAACTTTCCTGTCGTAATTTTTCTTACCATAGTGTTACGTGACCATATTCTCCGGTAGCATTGTCGTTCCTGACAATGTGTATAGTATGCCAAAGAAACTAAAAAAACAAATTCTGTGTTTATTGTTCATTCATTTGTTTCTGTATTGTGAGAGTGTGAGTGGGCGAGGTATTAGCGCTACTTTGAGTAATATCTTATTTACATCACGGCATGTAAGCTTAATATACAAAATGTGGTCAGCATGGAATTTTTCGGTCGGCGCCATACCAGTGGCGCAACCTGAATCAGGAATACAGACAATGAGACGTTTCTGTTGTGTTTTGGGGGAGGACCGACAGAACCCTGAGGACCGACATTTCGGTGACATCCAACAGAACTGTTTGGATTCGAACAACCGATCAGCAGATCCTGGCACAACTAAGGGACATAACCATTAAATGTTGAGATACAGTATGACTGATTCCCCGCACTTACATCAAAGGGTGACGACACGTTCTTAATACATCCCAGATATATGTACTCTCCGTTCCTCACTCAAGGCTGTACTGGTGCCAAAGTGATCAATGGCTCCACAATGGTGCCTTTTTGTCGCACGTGATCGTGGGTTCGAATCTCGCTTCGTTCTAATTGTCTTTCTGGAAATGTCAGCACCATACCCGAGCTTGACGATTTCACAAAACTGATAAACGTGAGAAGACCTGCATCACTTCGGCTTATCCTGCATCACGGTCAGGTAGCCGGGTGGTTAAAGCGTTCGCTCGTCACGCCGAAGACCCGGGTTCGATTCCCAACATGGGTACAATGTGTGAAGCCCATTTCTGGTGTCCCCCGCCGAGATATTGCTGGAATATTGCTAAAAGCAGCATAAAACCAGACTCACTCACTCACTCACTCCATCACCAAGCAGACACGCAGTTTCAGTAAAATGCTGTTGAAGGCTGTGTTAAACCCAACTCTCAATCACTCACGTACCACACTCACTCCTTATCTGCGTGTAGACGAGATTCACAATGAAGGAGAGGTTTACCCAACATTGTGTCTGGATTTGCCCAACCCCTCCCCAAGCAGACACGCAGTTTCAGTGAAATGCTGTTGAAGGCTGTGTTAAACCCAACTCTCAATCACTCACGTACCACACTCACTCCTTATCTGCGTGTAGACGAGATTCACAATGAAGGAGAGGTTTACCCAACATTGTGTCTGGATTTGCCCAACCCCTCCAGCCATTGGCCAACATCATCATACATTTGATGCGAAGCCGAATGTACAATGAATATAATAATAGCAGTTTCAGCGTGTTGAGTTGTCTACCCTTGTCGCCTGCAGCACGTCGGTATGTAGTTTCACCTGTTATAACGGTACACTCATTACTTCTCAAGGACACCAAATCAAAGTGAAAGAAGCATCATGGTCAAGTGATGCGAGTGAGTGAGTGATTTGGTCAAGTAGAGACGACCTGATGCATATCCCCAAGGCGCACTCGGCTCCTCCTAACTGGAAATCAATTCCACGCAAGCATCCTCATCCCCGCCTTCTGACACTAATCAGCCCCCTATTTGGTCGGAGCTTTTTTCAGAAGTTCAGTAAAAATTTTTGCATTACCGGTGTTACAAAAGTACGAGTTTCAAGTGATAAAAGAAGATTTTTTTAAAACTTTTATTTACTTCTAATTACACAGCATCGTTCAACATTCGTCGCCATTTTCTTCCTCTCGTTCAGCCATAGTTATCGGCCTTGACGTGTGGGTCACCATGGCGACGTCAGCGTCCGATTCCAGCGTTGCCGAACACTGGATAAGAAACTGTCATAAGATAAACTGAATTTTAAAGAGAAAAAAGAAACACAATTACATAAAGGGAGGCATTTCTGATAAAAAGTATACATCCTTGTTTTGTGGTGGCTATTGCTGCAATATTGCTAAAAGTGGAGCACTCACTTACTCGTTAAAACGGACAAAAGGTCCCTTTTTAAACCACAGGATCTGCATCTTTAAAAAAAATTTAGAAAGCGTAATAAAAGCTATAGGGCCATGGATGAGAACTACAAAGTAGACACAATTTATGGACAACAACTTCTTGAACACTTGTTATCCATAAATTGTGTCTACTTTGTCATCCGACAACCTCTAAGTAATGCCTATCAAACAATTTATCCGGACGAGAACAAATCTTGACATTTTACAACACTACATGTATAGTTAGGTGAGTGAGTGAGTATGGTTTTACGCCGCTTTTAGCAATATTCCAGCAATATCACGACAGAATGTACCCATGTCAGGAATCGAACCCGGGTCTTCGGCGTGACGAGCGAACGCTTTAACCACTAGGCTAACCGACCGCCCCTTTATAGGCGGGGCTAATGTGCTAAAGATTGTTTGTAGAGTTTTAAAGAAGAGTTTTCGTCATATTTGACCCAAGCTGATTTTCTTTGATGAAGGTAAAGATAATCCAACACCGGTTAATATATATATTAGGCGGCGGACTTACTCATAGTCATATTTTCCACTGATTTAGCCTTTCTCACCTGTAGTGTATCGTGCAAGTTTAAGAAAGAAATGGTTAGTTGTCATCACTTTGAACACGTCTGATAATTTCAAAATCATATTTAAAGTTTTCTTTACCCTTCAAATTTGACATTTCCAGTGGACAATTAGGGACCTACAATATAGCTTAATTACATACTGACTTTCCATCAGTAATGTTAGTTGTCCAGAGGGTTCAACTGTAGCACTGTGTTTTAGGAGTAATTGTACCAGTAGTTATATCTGCAGTACTGATGACTTTCAGGCTGCCGGTCAGCTGGTCATACTTCTCGTCAATCGTCAAACATAGATATCTTTGTTCATTTTTACTTGGGGGCACGGGTGACCGAGTAGCCTAAGGCGGCATCCTTAACTGTGCAGAGTTGCGTCCCTTGGGCACGCCAGAAACCTATGATTGTGGGTTCGAATCCTGGTTCGTCCCGATTATGTTTCTAGGTTTGTCGGCACCATACCCGTTGGTTTGCCCGACGTGGGGGTAATGTCTGAGGCCTGCATCACTTCGGGCTTTCCTCCAATATTAAGCTGACACGCCGTGATATAACTGGAATACTGTTCAATGCGGCGTTAAACCCACTTACTCACTCATTTTTACCTGTTGTTTTATTTACGTTTGCATTTTGATATCTGTGCATGCATACAACAATAGGATATGTACGTGTACAATAAGATAAATTTAAATAAATTTCCCGGAAATGTTTTAAACACTGCCAGTCTCAAGTGTTGTACTGTCTAGTCGGACCAGCACCAGCAAGAGGCTAGCTGATTGCTTGAAGTTATTAAAACAGGCTTATCCTGTATCACATACATCTTCAAAGAGATGTTTAAATGACAACTGAAATTAAGTTTTCAATCAGAACTACATTTCACATTTCGTAAATCATTATCTGTTTAAATCCCTTAAAATATTTCGTCCCTCCAGAAACCAATTAGAAGAATCGGTGAGATATTGACAAATTAATAATTTGTGATGGAAACTAGGTGTTCCTAAAATACCTATGACATTAATGATGATATTTTAATGGCAAATATATACTTATGGCAGGATATGTCAACAAAGTTAGGCCAAGAAACGCGAATTGTTTCTCAGAGCGTCAGTTTAAAACCTGCGCGTCAGTAATTGTTATTGTCAATGAAGCATTCTCTGTTATCCGTTAAATAAAACGCTTGGCAACTGACATTGTAGAAAAGGGTTAATGGTGTGCTCAGTTGCATTTGTTGGTATTATTTATTGGGAAATAAAATCATCAAATTCCTGTCACACTTGAATACAATGTGTCTGAGAAACATTTACTTACGCAGCTTGACAGGTGCTTGTGGGTAATTCTACATTACCTTAATGTTCTATTAAATAACGGTTTTATTAATCAAATTACCAGTTTGAATAATTGGATTGATATAAGACGGAATACCAGTGGGAAATCAAGAGACAGATGCTCGACATTGTCATAATTTAGCCTTTAAACAATATTTTTTATTTATTTTTCAGAAATGTTTCAGTGGAGCTTGAAGATCTGGAAATATTAATAATGTCCATGGACGCGCCTATGCTGTGCAATATGAACTTACATATTCATTTGTATATTTCTTTTAATATCCTCCATGATAATTATTCAATATCCTTGACATGAAAATGTCAATTTTTTTAACTACATGTTCTGGCCGGTACAGGTGTGTCAGTGATGATGCAGCTGATGATGCAGCTGATGAAGCAGCAGCCGTGTTTGCTACATCACAAGACAGTGGATGAAATTACCTCTGATTTTTCTCTCCATTTTTAGTAAAGCGGTTTAATAAGAATGTCTCTCCTTTTGACAATGAAGATTTTTTAACTAAAACACGTGTGAAATATTCACAGATCTTGAGTTTGAGATAGACAATAAAAAGATGAACCTGTAGTTTGACTGTAAAATATATGTGCCAAATTTTAACTATCGGCAGTCCACCGAATCAGCTCTTTATGAACTATTGTTTGTGAATCTAAAATGTCAATGCCAGAAGATATCCAGTCTCAATCATCCGGCAAAAGAGATTCATTGGGCTTAAGGCAAAAAGAGGTAAAAATGATCTTAATGGATCACTGAAACATGACACCGGGTGTTCCCACGTCTTATGTCCGTTTAATCAGTTTCATCTTTTAGTATCAGAACGAAGTTTCCACACGGCACAACGGTCGATTTTCAATTCAAACTGAATTTTTCAAAACTGTGGTTTGCTAAGTGATTATAACATAATTATAATGTTGGTTGAGTGAACAAACGAGGAGAGAGAAAGTGTGTTTATTTATTATAAATCCAAGGGTTTCCCCGTGACCCCTGCTCATGACCGAGTCGTAATCGTACATTGCTTTTGGTAGCGATTTCCTATCATTATGGAAAATGTTTTTTGTCGCTTTCATTTATTTTCTTTCCTGGGCATCTATGCATTTTTCATAATTAGATCATTCGAATACACTGGAAAAAAGAAAAACGACAATTGCAGAAGAGAAGTTCGAAAGTGATATTTATAGCCCTTATTCCCGCATACCTGTCTCGTTACAGCCCAAAGTACCGTTATCTATATATACACTTTGGCAGTCCAAAGTTTTGCCAAATCTAACGTAAAGCGTTAGTTTTTATGTTTTCTTTATGTGTGAAACAACTGACGTCATGTTCAGTTTAAATAACGGTAGTAGTCGTAGTGAGTGAGTGAGTGAGTTGGTTTAACGCCGCTTACGTCAGCATTCCAGTTATATTACGACATTATAGAAGTAGTAGTCAAGTGAGTGAGTGAGTGGGTTCAACGCCGCCTTGTACTGTATTCCAGTCATATCACGGCGTGTCAGCTTACTGTGGGAGGAAGCCCGACATGTTGCAGGTCTCAGACGTTTACCAATTTGGTGAAACCCACGAGCACGGTTATGGAGCTGTATGAAAACTAGAAACATAATGGGAGCGAACTGGGATTCGGAAATACATTCATAGGTTTGTGGCGTACCAAAGGGATGCCTCTCCCCGCGACAGTAGTAGGAATTGAGTGCGAAACGTTGAACTGGCGAATAAGAAGGGTTACCTCGCTTGAATAATCTATTCCTTCTGCTAGCTTGTGACGTTTCCAAGTCTTCAGGGGCATATATTAAGTTGTCGTCTTCTGAACCTAGGAAAAGAAACACCAGGATATGATGATTGTTGTGTGGGACATTCCCAAGGGACTCAACCCTTGACAGCGGCTTGTGACACAATACATGAATAGACCCCTCCTTCGCTTATTTTAGGTGAGAAAGATAAATAAAACGAGTGCGTCCCGGACGTTTTCAGACCTTCTTCCAAACATTGGAGACATAAAGTCTTAAGAAAAAACAACTGTTTTATTTCAAACAGCTCGAAGCTTTAACGAAAAAATACTATTCATAGAATATATATATCTGCTTTTTGCTTTACAAGAAAATCATTGGCACATATTTTGTAGCCAGAAAGAACTTCATCGTTCAACTTGTTGGAAATTACAACAGAATAAAAATACAAAAAGACCATCACAACATGTGATACATTTAAACGTAACATTAAAACGGTTCTTACTTTTAATACACACGGGTTTATCTTCTAGGAGTAGGAACTGACTTTCAAATTGAACTTGGCAAAATATGTTGAGTTCCCTGTTTGGGATATCAGACGGGATGACATAGGCACAGCGCTGGCTGCCGACGTACAGCCACTCCCTCGGACACGGCGACTCCAACTCTGCAACACACAAACCAATGACGTCATAGTTAATTACAAAACCCGTGACGTCAGAGTTAGTTACGAAATCCATGACGTCAGAGTTAGTTACAAAACCCGTGACGTCAGAGTTGACAAGAAATCCGTGACGTCATAGCTGGTCAAGAAACCCGTGGCGTAATAGTTGTCATGAACCCGTGATGCCTTAGAGGTCAATGTAATGTTTTCCGATGACTAGGTGTATCATAATTTTTGAACGCATATAGGTTTTGATGGCGACTGTGCAACCCCGAAACACATTATGACCATCGGAGACGTCGAATGCCTTGTGTCATGTTAAAGCCGCCAACAATCTGCATAGATCCAGCACCAGTATTCTCAGACAAAGATGGAGTACGAATTTTAGGGGTTTTCAAAGCTTTAAATAATATTCAAGCATTCAAACAGATAAATTCAAATGGGAAATGTTCCCATGGGTGTATCGAACCTGGCTCGCTGGTATGGCGAATGAACGCTCTTACCATGAGGTGAACACAGCGCCCCAAATTTATAAACAAAACCCCCAGAAACAAACAAATACAGTTACGTATTATAGATAAAGACAACAGATGTCTGGCTCTGTCAGAGCCGTTGAGTTCGAGCCTGGGTTTCGATGCGTTGTCAGTAAACGCTGTGCGGACTCTTCTTCAGTTACCATTTCTGGTAAACCACGTACACGGGTATGTGCTGACAAACTAAGAAACATAATCGGGGCGAACCGGGATTCGAACCCACATGCATAGGTTTCTGGCGTGCCCAAGGGACGCAACTCTGCACAGCGAATCGCGGCGCCTTTGACGACTGGGCCACCCGTGCTCCCCGCAGCTTATTTCAAGTAAACAGAACGTGATCATTACATGGGGGTATTTTTCAGTGATAGGGGTATGCATACATTTGCTTTTTATATCACTGAGTGGTATACACCAAATGCATTTCTCTCACACGTGAATTACTACAAGTTCAACCTTTTTGGTCTGAACCTTGAATGAATTTATAGCTACAACAACGGATATATGTTTGTTTGTTTGCTGTTTAACATTTAATATTCCCGCTGTGTGGCAGTGGTCTGTAAATAATCGGATCTGGACCAGACAATCCAGTGATTGACATTATGAGCATCGATCTAAATGCATCAAACAAGTCAGCAAGCCTGACCACTCGATCCCGTTAGTCGCCTCTTACTACAAGCATAGTTTGCAAAAGACTCTAAGATTCTAACCCAGGTCTTCACAGTGTACAACGGATATAAGGTGAGGTAAAATGGGGTTTAACGTCGCGTCCAAGATTATTGCACTTATATAGCGACGTGCATGCATGTGTATGTGTGTGGCTGCTTGTTCTAGTCCGGACTGATGGCGATTTATAGTGCTAGCTCACTGAGATACCATGCCGCAGTTTAACATGAATACCTCATTCAGACACAGTGTACTGACTCCGAGCCGACCAGTCCTTTTTAGCCCCTTTATGCCGAGCGCCAGACAGGATAACAACCAGTACCATCTTTTAACGTCTTTTGGTATGACGCGGCCGGGGATCGAACCCCGGATCCTCCGCTCTCCGGGCGGACGCTCTACCACTAGACAACGGAGGCGGTCACAACGGATATAAGAGATAACGCTTTAAAGGTTAAGGGTAGTCGACGAGCTCATTCTAAGAGCTGCACAAACCCGAAATGAGGCTAAAATTATAGTTTTGTTTTTTACTTTATTGGGTTTTTCTTCACCTTAACTGGTAGTTCAAACAGTGGTGCCGTCTGCAGAAAGTGATTTCTGTTATTACGTGTCACTCTCAATCTTCTAAACTCCAGCTATCGATCGGTGTCCAACGACAGGATTCTAATAAAGCATTGACAATGATTATAATTTCCATCTTAAGATTACCAGAACGGATATGTTGAACACACTGATTATGTTCTATGTATATCCCATACACTAACGAACCATATACCATTAAAGCAAAACCTTCCAGTGACACGTCTTTACGGAATTCAACAAACATCCTCTACAAGGAGGAAACACGAAACACCAGCATGCATTTTCTTTCATCATATTAATTAATCTATTTTCAAAGATGGTTTGATTACCAGCTCAAATATTGAATGAAACCTATTAATTTCATATTTGTCTCAAAAGATTGGAGTTAACGTGAGCGAAGGTAGGAGAAACCTAAACAGGGTATTATGGTAATTACATTGTTTTATTTTTCCCTAATTTTTGGTTAAAGTCTTTCTGTGCGAACCTGATGCACTTAACAATATGGGTTGAATAGAACAACTTGTTCTACACACTGGAGGGTGTTAGGTATCACGGCGTCAGGTGTCACGGTGAGGTGAGGTGAAATTGGTTTTAACGCCGCGTCCAAGATTATTGCACTTATATAGCGACGTGCATGTACGTGTGTGTGTTTGTGTGGCTGCTTGTACTTGTCCGGACTGATGCCGATTTATAGTGCTAGCCCACTGAGATACCATGCCGCAGTTTAACATGTATACCCAACTCAGACACAGTATACTGACTCCGAGCCTACCAGTCCTTGTTTTAGCCCCTTAATGCCTAGCGCCAGACAGGGTAACAACAAGTACCATCTTTTCACGTCTTGTAGTATGACGCGGTCGGGAACCGACCCCCGGATCCTCCGCTCTCCCGGGGGACGCTCTACCACTAGAGTGAGTGAGCGAGTAAGTGAGTATGGTTTTACGCCGCTTTTAGCAATATTCCAGCAATATCACGGCGGGGGACACCAGAAATGGGCTTCACACATTGTACCCATGTTGGGAATCGAACCCGGGTCTTCGGCGTGACGAGCGAACGCTTTAACCACTAGGCTACCCGACCGCCCCTCTACCACTAGAACAAGGAGGCGATCAAAGGTGTCGCGGACTTTAATACGACATAGCCGCATAGGCATGGCACATCTTGGAGATTCATTGTTTTAACCTCACAGTCTCAAAGATACAAATTGCATATGGGCTAACATAATTGGTTGCATTAAATCGATTGATGTTTTTCAAATTTAGAGTTTCCATAAATAGACTGGGTTATAACTTGATTTCCCGTTGACTTCATTTTTATGGTTTCCCTCTTGTAAATACAAGCGACAAAAGTTTTTCTATAAGAAGAAATCCATGGCGATACCACCTGGAGATTCTTGATGAATATACTACCATCGGTACCAAAATATCGTATTCAGAACATAAAAAAAGAAGTCTGTTGTCCTCATTGCTAATACAACAAGTGCCACACAAACACACTCAAAGATATTGTTCTGAGCCTTTAAAGATAGAAGGGATTGTCATACCTCCATGTCAGAATGATAAAATCTGATTGGTCTACGTGATCTTGATAAAAAACTGTGTATACCGAGAATAAAGTTCTAAGAGGCAGAATAAATCCCTTATACCCCGCTTCAAAGCAACGCCGCACGCTTTTTCCGAGTCAATGAAAGTCACGTGACACAGCGCAAGCTAACCTCAGCTCAGTCAAACAGCTGTTTTCATGTCCGTAAGATAAATTCGTTGTAGCAGGATCACGAGGGGTACATGGGGTTTTAAGAGTCGTTCGTTAGGATTTATACCACTCGCCTCCGGTATACAACCATACGCAACACGCATTAAACCCAATGCACCCCTCGTATTCCTACTACAACCTATTTAACTCTCAGTCTTTTGACTTTGGCCTTTTTACTGTGTTGGCAAATCTGACTTTACCTCATGTTTGTTTGTTCGTTTGTTTGTTTGTTGTTTAACGACGCACTCAGCAATATTCCAGCTATATGCAGCGGTCTGTAAAAAATCGAGGCTGGACCTGACAATCCAGTGATTGACATCATGAGCATCGATCCACGCAAATGGGATACGATGACATGCATCAATCAAGTCAGCGAGACTAACCACCGGTCCCGTTAGTCGCCTCTTACGACAAGCATAGTCGCCTTTTACGGCAAGCATGAGTTGCTGAAGACCTATTCTAACCCGGATCTCCACGGGTAACTTTACCTCATGTAATAAGCGGTTCAATGACCTTTAACATTTAGCGGCAGTTTAAATATAATTGGCAAACGGTATCGACATTTAACGCCCCTATTAGAGCGTGAAAGATTATAACATAATAATAAGTACCCATGACTCTATGTAGTGATAACTGCACAAAAAAGAGCTCTGACACGTGAGTCTGGTTTGCCTGTTTGAAGAACTTCTTCAGCTGTGCCATAAAGGAAGAGAGTTCTTGAATGCATCGGAGTTGATCTGATACCCTGGGAGCTGCTACTCTCCCTCGCCATCTATTCTGATTACATTAATGCTACATGAAGCTATTACAGCGGATTTAAAGATTTTATACTGTGCAAAAAATTAGATCTGTAGCCCCCATTTCTTAAAACCATTATATTCTCTCTGCTACACAGTAAATGATTTTTCAGTCGATAAGGTTCCATGTGACGTTGTTAATAGTACATCTTATTGAAAATGGGTTTGAGGAAAGTGAAAGAAATATTTTGGGTTTACGCCAGACAGTATTTTTAACATGATAGCTGAAAGTGATGGTTGTAGTAAACGATGGAAATATACTGAATATAAAAAGTTAGGGATCAGGAATATTTGTGGGGATATTTATTTTAAGAGAAGACTGAGCACACCATTTCCTGAAAAATAATCCCTAAAATATTCCTGATCCCTAACGTTTTTGTTCAGTATATTAATATAAAATGTCCCAGGAGACTTCTAAACTGCATGGATTAGTGCAGGGATCCTTCTTGCAGTCTCGACCTTTGGTAGGGAGTCACAAATGGCAAAGACCTTTCTTCCGATATACATGTTGAAACTGGCATTCAGAATAAGGAGATATGTATTCCAGGAAAAATGGAATTAAGAATAGAACGCGTATGTGTAGTAATGTGGCGGGGGAAGAACGGCCAACAGATGGCAGGAAGCTAACAATGCGTCCTGGACAAACTGTCTGACGTTGTACCATAGACTGAGGTTTTAG